TTTTATATATAGAAAAAATAAAAAAAAATAAAAGATGTATGAATATTGCTCCAATTCATATGAAACAACTACCATTCGATTCCCAGCAACTAGACGAATCCAATGAGCTAATATTCATTAATTTTGGATCAGCCCATCTCGAGATATTTGCGATTGTATTTCGAAATCCGGACTCCTTTATTTAAAGTAAAATTTATTGATTCATAATTTCGGCCGATAATACAATTGCGATTATCTCGAGAATGGATGATCCGAAACCAATGAATGTTAGCCCATTGGATTCGTCTAGTTACGGGGAATCGAATGGTAGTTGTTTCATTCGAATCGGAGCTATATTGACCATGATCGTACATCTTTTGTTTTTTTTGTTTTTTCTACATATAAAAATCATGTGATATGATGTCATTTCGACCATTTCGACTTTTACCTCCAATAGTCGAAATGATTTCGACCATTTCGACCATTTCGGATGTCCGAAATGATCTATTTCGACTTCATGTATAACAAGTATAGTATAAGTATAGTGATAATTTTATTTACATACAAAATTTCTAATCTTGAGTATTAGTGTCAAAAGAAATGATTTTGACTAGTGATATTACTATTTTAAAATTTATATTCAGGTGATGCAATACTTTTGAGCATCATTGGATATTAAAATTAATTTGAGAAAATTTATCTAATATTTATTAATATATATATTAATTCTAATTTTAATAATATTTAATTTTATTTTAATTAATTAAAAAAAATTAAAAAAGTTTTTATTAAATTAATTTAATAATTCAAAATTATTAAGATTTTATTATAATAATTTTTTTTAAATTTTAACTAATTAGTTGTATATAATTAAAATTATATAGTAAAAAATAAAATAACTAAAAAAATTTTTTAAAATAAATATGATGCAAACAACTTAATCGTATCCAATGATTTTTATCAATTTCAAAATGTAAAGGAATTTTATTTAGACATATAACCATTAAAAAAATATATGTTATTTAATAGCCTTTGATATAGTCTATAAAACTACATATTTGTTTTGTCCACTTTATTATAAAAATTTTTTTAGTTAGGATTTTTAATGCTAACTTTAATAGCAATAGAAGGATTTTTAGCATGACCAGTATCACGTAAAAATAATATGATTGGTGCATATTATTTATATGACTGTATTTGATTAGAGAACAAAAAAAAATTTTACATATTACCAAATTCTTTCAAAATGGTTTCTGGAATCCTACGATGAGACCGATACCATTTAACTGCAAAGACAGCCACCTTACCTGAAAGTTCAAGCTCATAAGCACTCATATAATGCGTAAAATGATGTGAAAACTGGCGAATTTTTGTTAGGCTAATAGAATCTAATACACGTGATACAATCTCTTTAAAATGATTAAACGAATAATCATAGTGAAGACGTGAGTACCGCTTCGCCTCTGCCCAAAAAAACTTAATTTAATTAAGTTCACAGTAGAACTTCAGGTAGAACATACATATATGTTCTGCTGCTTCAAAAACCTAAAAAGATAAGTATTTTTAATTATATTTGTTATATTTGAATAGTGAATATCATACTAATTGCAACTTACCTCTTGTATATATATTCTTTGTGATGCAAAGTTGAGTTGAACAGAAAGGATGCATGTTGCGCAATAGTCCATTTTATTTGAATCAGAATTATGTTGCATATATGCACTGCACTTTCTTTTCAAACCTGATATCTATAATCCATGCTCTTCAAGAATTTGTCGAATACCTTTGGGCTTTATAACACTATTAACATCTGTAAATGTCATAATATAAGATAAGCCATCGAGTATTTTATCATTTCGGAGGAATAGTTGTTTTCTGCCATCTTTTATGTTCATTCTTGAAACCATTAATGCATCATCAGCAAATGCATTGTGATTGCAACTGTTATCAAACATGAAAAGTGCAACTTTTCTCAGATGAGTATGTTCAAATATTAGAATAGCCTGCTCTTTTACTTGTTTAATAACATTCTTGTTTGTCTACTAGCCATCATGATTCGTATCAGGATATATTGTAATGCAAGTTTCAGTATACACTAGTCACTTATTATTAGAAAGTAAATCGTTAGTAAAACAATTCTCTTCTAAAAGTCAGAATCATCCAATAGACTTATAGAGAAAGTCGCTTATGTGAATGCTAAGGCCTTGTGACTTATAATAAAGTCGACTCTTATCTGCCAGACCCTAAGCTTTAACAACATCATCATTTGCATAAAAGACTGACTCGTCATGGGTAACAGAAACGATTTCGGGAATACAATATAGAAGTATGGATAAGACAATTTGATCTAAATTCTCGCCTTCATAAGTAGCCATTCGCTTCTGTAATTCTGCCTATTGTTACAAAAATTAATATCTATCTGCCACTACATCTTCATGCTCATGACCATCAAAGTAAACATTCTTTGAGTGATCCTTATATTCCTAACTAAGCATATGCAGCCATTCACATGCAGTTGAATGAGAGATACTTGCCTTTTCTTCTATTTTAATAGCAGGAATAACCTCATCTTCAATGAATTTTACAAAATCAGCAATGTTTAACGTGAATTTATATGCACGTAAGTATTCAGTAACTCGCAATTTAACATTTTCATACAAAAGGAGAAACCTTATTTTTGCATATCGTCCACATTTAGACAAAACAATTATACTATTATTCAGCTATTAATTTATTCAGGAGTGGATAAGCTGTGCTTACTATAGACCTTTGTTCAAGCTCTAGGCAAGAATATTACTTGTATCTATTTTTTATGTATCCTTGATCCTGGACTAAATGGAGAAATTGACTTACCATCTGAAGCTACAAATCATCTTTCTTTTTTTTTTAATAAAAAATCTAATGATTCTAATGTAAATTCATTGTCATTATCGCTACTATCACATACATTAAATGTGAGATCATCATTATTTGTATTATTTGTATGAGACTTGGCAGCTTCATTTGCTAAAAACATTTCAGTGATTTTCTTAGAACCTAAAGCTGCTTTTTTCCAATATGCTCTTTTGTTAAGTAATGTTGACTTTGCATTACTAATATATACTGGTCTCGCAAATCTATAGCCCATGTATGTGACTTTGCATTTTCGACTAGTTGTTATAGTGTACCTGATTTTCATGCTTGCATTTTATCTGTAATTTCATCACTATCAAAACTTGCTTTCTCACCTTTTGTCCAAAATGTGACAAACTATGATTCATCAAAATCATCAAGTTCAGCATCTGATAATTCAAGCATTACTTCCTCAGAATTTTTTTGCTTGTTTCCAATGTTTCTTGATAGCTTCTCAGGACTGTCTAATACGTTTATTTCATTTTAACATTTTATTAAATTGAGATATAAAAAAAGAAAGTTAACGCAAATGATGTAAAATGATGTAAAATATCACAATTTAATTAGTATCACATGATTAAAATTAGTCACGTGCTAGAATTTTGACCAATCAAATTTTGATTTTAATATGATAATGATCGATAAGATTTTCAGCAGTAGCTTAGTCATTTGATATAACTAAGCTGTTTACATCATAATAATTTTAAAAATTGTAATTTTATATATATCTTTTTAAATTATAAATATATAACAAGTTAATTATAAATTTTATTGACTGAAAATTAGATTTAAATATATATAGTAAAGTTATATATTATAAAGAATATTGATTTATTATTCATAAATAAAGTTGTTGCATAAAATCTAATGATTTAGCCAGATATCTAAATGATAAAGATAAAACTTGGTTAAATTATGTTAAAACTTTATTAAAAAATCTGTAAAATTCAGAAAAAGATAAAATTATATTAAAGCTTATAAAAATGGTAAAACTATATTTAATACTTAATAAAAATTTAGCAAAACTAAAGATTTAAACATTTAAACAAATCAAAAATGAGTTTAATATAATTTAATGCTAAATTTTAACTAATTATTTTATATATAAATTTTTTATAGTAAAATTATATCAATTGGAATTAAATAGGGCTATTATTTCATATTTAATAATTTTACTTAAATTTAAATTTTATCATAATTTTTACTTGGAATTATAAACATAAATTATTGTATATTTTATTTATTTTTACATTCTAATTGATAATATATTTTGAATAAATTCCTTCTGAAATATTACATGTTCTTTAATTAGCTAATTTTATCAAATTTTTGATATTAAAAATCAAAGAATAATATGTGATATTTTTCAGACTTAAACAAATGCATCTTATCCTATGTTAGCAACTAGCTGTAATATAAATTGTCAGATATCTTAGTATAAAAGTATAAGTTTGAAGAATCTCTATTTAAATTTAATAATTGGAATTGACTATATACATTTTCGAATAAAAGTATCATTGACTAATTTTTTTATTAATATTTTTCTGTATATTTAATGTTTCTTTAACATATATATGTTATAATTTATTTTCTTTATTTTGAAGTAGATGGTAAATTACTATGCTTATACTGTATATTAATTTTATATGTATAGTAATATATATTATTTGGGTTTGCTATTAAAATTATCGATCTGCAGACTGACTTAAACGTCAAAAACGTGAAAGGGTTACATAATGACATCACATCTAAATGACATAGCGGGAAAATTTAAATAAAAACTTTATAATTTTTTATGGTTTAGATCAAAATTTAATTATAAAAATAGATGGAAACTTTTTCTAAAATGAATAGCTTGTTTTTTTTTCGTTTTTGTTTAATTTAATTATTTAAAATGGCACCGCCTCTAAGTATTCATAGGGTTGTAGTTGTTTCTCTTTTTCTTCCATATACAGTTTCTTTCGATATTGGTAAAGAGAGAGAAATCACCTTCTCTCCAGTTGATATTAATTTGACGGTTCCAAAGCCAAACCTCATTGAAAGGCTGGCGGCTAAGCGCGCTGACGGACCCGTTACCCCCAGTCAACAAATTGAAGATCCTATTAATAAGCTTTTCCCTTCGAAAGGGCATACTACTCCACCACCTACAACTGGACGGACTCAACCTCGTAGTCGCGCACAAAAGCTTGAATTAAATAATAAAGGATTTTCGTCTCTTCCTTTTTCCTCACGTCGTGTTTCCATTGATAGTTCGAAAGTTTTCGATGAAGCTCCTTGGACTGTTGAACCTTGTACGCAAGGCAATATCGGTTTACAAAATGCTATAAACTCTGTCGCCCAAAACTTTACTAAACGTGTCTGGATAGGAACTCTTGGCATGCCTACAGACGTGCTCACAGAAAAGACGCGAGAGAATATTCGTGTCAAAATGACGACAGAATATGATTCAATTCCTGTAATTGTTGCAGATCAAGATTTTGAAGGACATTATAATCAGTTTTGTAAGCAAGTATGTAAAGTAAAAATCAACAATTTGAATTTTAAGTTTAATTTTAAAAGATGAATAAATTTATATAAACGCGTATCTGTTCAGGTTCTTTGGCCTACTTTTCATTATGTTCTTCCAGATAATCCAAAGAATAAAATTCAGGAAGATAAAGGCACTTCATGGAAACATTATGTTGCGCTTAATCAATACTTTGCTGATATCATCACGGAGAATTATCAACCCGGCGATATAAGTAAGCGAAAGCTTTTTGGTGACGTGATGATACACATAATTTGCATCTACGAATTTTAATCTATTTAATTATCTAGTTTGGGTCAATGATTATCATTTATTGTTGGTCCCAGGAATGATCCGTAAAAAGCTTCCAAACGCGATGATTGGATTTTTTCTTCATATTCCATTCCCAAGTTCAGAAATCTTTAGATGTTTGCCTGGTACGTGTATAAATTGTTTAATAAGAATATATTGAACGGAGTATATTAATTTTGTACGTATAAAGTACGCAAAGAGTTACTTGAAGGTGTTCTTGGAGCAGATCTGATTGGGTTCCAGGTAAAATTTCTAATTATTCATTTAATATTATTGGATTCATTTGTATAAACTTAACTAATAAAACCAACATTGTCATAATGTTAAAGACCTATTCTTTTGCTCGCTATTTCCTTCAGACTTGTTCTCGAATATTGTCATTAGAGACTACTCCTAAAGGAATTCAACTTGAAAATAACTTTGTTTCTGTTGGTATTTTCCCAATTGGTATGTTTATGTTAGCGGATAATTCGATCATGTGACAATACTTTAAATTAAAAAACGATTTCATTACACTTGTTAGGAATCGATATTCAGGCTTTAAATGAAAAAAGGTTTAAAATGGAGACCTGCCTTTTTTTCTTTACATTATATTGGAGTATGAGTATTTACTTTTGTATTAATATGCAATTTTATAGGAAAGATCCGGAGGTACGTTATTGGATTGGGGTACTCGGTGAAAAGTATAATGGTAAAAAATTAGTAGTTGCACGTGACAAGTTGGATTATGTTAAGGGAGTCCGTCAAAAGATGCTTGCTTTCGAGACCTTTCTCACGATGCACCCTGAATGGCAAGGAAAGGTAAAATTATATATCGATTCCTAAAAATTTTTGATTTATTCATGGTTCTGACTTTATAAAATCTGATGTGATAGGTCGTTTTAATTCAAGTCGTACTTTCTACTACTGAACAAAATGAACTACAAAGCCAAGTATCAGATGTAGTGGCTCGAATCAATTCGAAGTTTAGTAACCTTTCGTATCAGCCAGTCGTATATCTTCATAAAGATATTACTTTTAGTCAATACTTGGCGCTTCTTTCAGCAGCTGATGTGTGTCTGATTACTTCATTACGCGACGGAATGAATTTGACATCACACGAGTATGTGATTTGTCAAGAGGAAAAGCATCGACCATTGATTCTTAGCGAGGTATGATTTATATTAGAAATTTTTTATTTTAAATTATTATAATGAATATGACTTAAAAAGATTATTGATATTTAGTTTGCTGGAACTTATGGAAGTTTTGGTGCAGCTATTCGTATTAATCCATGGGATTATCAAGTAAGTCCTTATCTACTTATAAATATACCACTTATTTAGAATTTATGTTTATATGTTTAAATTGGAAGGAATGTGCTGAAGCTATTCATGAGGCTTTAATTATGAATGACGAAGAGGCTACAACTAAATGGAAGGTTAGTAATAATTTCAATCTTTTTTTCTGTGATTTAATAAAATCTAATTCATTTTATTTTTAATTAAGGAATTATACGCGTATGCATCCTTGAATAGTGCACAACATTGGACAGCAAGTTTTGTTTCAGAACTTGAAAAGGTTCATAGTGATATGCAGCGGCGCTTTTCAATTCATATTCCTCATTTGAACCCAAGATCTTTTTTGGGAGATTTCAAAGACGCTCAAAAAAGATTGTAATTATATTAAAATAATTATTTTTTTTTTTTGCTGTGTATATTCGTTTATACTAATCTCACGATATATTCTCAATTAGGTTTTTGTTAGATTATGATGGTACGCTCGCAGCTTATGAAAAAGCCCCAAACACTATTAATTCGACAAAACGCCTCGTTGGTCTGTTAACTAGACTTACAAGCGATTCACATAACGTGGTATATGTAATGAGCGGAAGAACATTCGAAAGTTTAGAAGAACAATTAGGGGAAGTACCCAATTTAGGAATGAGGTATGCTTTTTTTAAAAAAAAAATAATACTAGATTTATGATTATTATTAAGCACTTATATCTGTTTATAAATCTTCTTTTAATAAGTGCTGAAAATGGGTCATATTTGAAATTAATCGGTGGTAAATGGGAAAATTTATTTACCGATTTGGATATGAGCTGGAGAGATCAAGTGGATGAGGTAATGAATATTATATATGATCTCTTTTTTTGAGGCGTTTAAGTTACAGAGATAACAAAAAAAAAAATAAAACACCACAAAATGAAAACCCCATCCCCGGTAAATTAAAATTATTATCAATTAGATATTCGAGTATTATACCGAAAGAACTCCAGGATCACTTATAGAAAAAAAGAATGTATCAATTGTTTGGGTAAGCATAAGTTCAAACTATTCACTTTTTCATCCTTATTCCTAACATTTTAGTATATTTTCATAGCACTATCGTTCTGCTGATAATTCTAGTTATGGGTAAATTTTCAATTATTGAATACTCATTTGCAATTATACTTATTGTAATTATTTTCATTAAATTAAATTTGAATACATTTATTTATCAAGAGCTTGGCAAGCTGCTGAATGTCAGAACCATATCCAAGACGCATTAGGGTCAACATATCCAATTCACGCAATTGCTGGAAATAAAAATATTGAGGTTATGCCACGTAACATCAACAAATCTGTTGCTATTAGGCAAATTCTTACAACAATAGAACCAGATTTTATTCTTTGCATGGGAGATGATCGAACAGATGAAGACATGTTCGATTTTGTAAATAAGTTGGAAAATGTTAAAACAGCAATAACTTGCACAGTTGGATCAAAGAGTAGCGAAGCAAAATGGTTTGTTAGTGGTGTATTGAGGTAATTGCTTATTTCATATTTGCTTATTTAATAAATTATAAAAATTATACATTAATTTTTATATATATATAAAAATACGCAAAAGTGTATTAAGTAGTTTAGAGATATTGGCTAGCAACGAATAGGGACGTACAGTCGGTTCGGTTTCAGTTTTAAACATCCGATTTTGATCCATGACCAAATCGATATCTTATAATGAACCGTAAAACCAGTCAAAAGTAATAAATAAAGCAAAAAAGATTAAATAAAACGATTATTATAATATTTAGAATTCTTAATGCCTGCTAAATTGTAATGTCGGTCTGGAATATGAAAAGGTACAAGATATACTCCTTTTTTTTGTTTATTTATTTATCTATTTTTTAATTTTGGCTTTTTTGTTCAGGCTTCTGTTGTTATGGTAATGGTTATTGTGGGTTATAGAACAGCAAATGTCATTTTCAATAAAAAAATTAAAAATTTTTTTATATTACAAATTGTGAAGTTAATTTGATACTTTATCATGTGATGAATAAATATTTTTTATTTTTTTATTTAATAATCTTTATATTGTTTTAAATTTGCATATTTTTATTGTTTATTGATAGAAAAATGGTTGGTTAAATTTATATAAAGTAAATCAGTTTTTAAATTATAAATAAAAAAAATTACACAGGTAAGCAAATTTCAATTTTACTTTATTTTTTTTTATTTTTTTTTTTTTTACATGATTGTTACTTTAATTAAAAAAACCTATAAGTAACATTAAGATTTTCTTATAAAACAATATATAAAATCAGCATTAAAATTTTTATAAAAAAAAAATTACCAAATTTTAAAGTAAAAAAAAAACTTTTAAAATATAAATTTTTAGCAGAAAAATTTTTTTTATAATAATTGATAATCCTTTTTTTTTAAAGATATATGGTTAAAATATATGTGAAATAGTTAATAAAAAAGGAAGAAATCTTAAATTTTTGTTAATTTTAATTATTAAGCTAATTTTGTATATATGATTGAGATCAGCCAAGTGGTCCAATAATATAAATTTTGACCAAAATTTGGATTTCTTCCTTTTCTACTGACTGCCTTTCATATGTTTATTTGTAAAAATCATTTGATTGTCCGAAGCGTAAGCGTAGGACATTTTTGGTTAAAGCTAAAACTATATATGTGGTTCATGACGTGTGATCTGCCAATCACATTTCTGTCAATCATTTTGTGTAATACAATTTTTTCAGTTTTTCGAACATTTATTTAACTATTTAAAAAAGATTAATGTATACAATTATAGAACACGATTAAATTATTCTAATAAAGTTAGAAATTAATAATTTTTAATTTAGTAATACAGATATTTTTTTAATTAATTGTATTTTTAACTTTATAAATAATAGTATTAAAGATATTTTTATGTTGATTAACACTTCAGATGCTTCTAACAGTTTCTGTTACCTAGTTTTAATCAAAAATTTATCTATTATATCTGATTATTTAAGTATTTAAAAGATTTAGAAATATTATTAAATTTATCTTTAATCTTATAAAGATGTTATTATATATTAAGTTTAATATTTTATTTATTAATTTTTTTATATTTAAATAGAAATACTATCACATCTCAATATAATAAAGTTGATTTTCTAGTTGATCAGACCTTTATTATAAGAAAATTTGTTATTATTATAACAAATTATTCAGCATAATAAATGATTACCAAAAAAGAAAATACAAACATAATTTTATTATAATATAATTAAAGTTAATTTATAATATCATTTTATAGAATAACCTCTTTGAGGTTAAAGTTAAAGTGATTTTGAAGTAATTATGATAATGCAAATATTGTAATTAATCTTAAATAAAACAAATTATAATAATAAATATAAATTTATTTTTAAAAATTTTTATAATTGAAAATAAAAAAGAATAGCTTTATTTTAATATAAAATTGAGAGCTTTTTAGTAAATAAAAAAAAAGTTAATTAATAATAGTTTAAAATTCAATAATCAATATCTAATATTATTTATTTATATGAAAAATTATTAAAAATTAAAAATAAAAATAATAAAAAAAACAATAAAAAAAATAAAACCCTATAATAAAAATAAAAATAATAAAAAAAATTTAAAAAAATATTAAAAAACTCAATAAAAATAAATTAAAAAAAACAAACAAAAAATTAAACTTTTATTTCCAATTACTGGTTTGTTATCAACATGTTACTGACTCTCTTTTAATGATACCTTGTAACTAAAAAATATAAAAATACTTAATATAAATCTAAAAATTTCTAAAAATTTTATTAAGAACCATCAATTAAAACATTTTTAATAATTAACTGACCTATTCCAAAACCTAGTTCTGAAGAGATTATAAAATCAATTTTTATTATATGATCATCTTCCCACTTTTCTAACACCATTACACTAATCACAAAATCCTAAAGGATACATATTAATTACTTATACTATTAAGTTATATTTATCAACATATTATTATTTATTTATTTACTTACTCATAATTTCTCACCAGATTTCTTTACTTCTACTCACATTTTTAAGCAGAATAATCATTATTATAGCATCGATTTATTCTTTTCATAATATTTTGCTAAATTTCTAACTTATTATCATAAAAAATATAATGATATTCATAGTTACATTTTCTCATCTCTTCAACCAAATAATCAGTCTCTATATTTTCCCAGATAATTTTTGATGTAATCATTTTTTATGTTGGTTTATAAAAAGTTAAAAAATTTGAAATAATTTGATTTAATAAATAATTGAAAATATATTAGAATATTCAAAAATGAAAAATTAAATGATGATAAAAATATTTTCCTTTAAAAATAAATTTTTTTATTATTGAATCAAAATTCTGATTTGATAATTTGTAAAAAACTTAAATAATACAATAAATAAACTTATAATCAAAATACTCAAATTCTTTATGTTCAAAATTCTAATTCAGATTTCAAAAACAATTCAACTATTATATAATTTATAAAATTAAATCAACACAAATATAACTTAAGTGAAATTTTTAATATAATAGATCATACAATTAGAGACAATAATATTTTATCACCTGTGTGATAAATATAAAAATCAATACTATAATTTGATAAAAAATAATAGAAAATTTTAACACAAATTCAATAAAAATTTATTATAAATTGATTAAAAATGATAAAAAATAATATGAATTTTTCAACACAATTTCAATACAATTTCAATACTATTGTAAAGTAATATTATTTAATAAATTTGTATTTTCATAATATCATTTATTATATCATTAAGTTTATTATATAAAAAAAAGAAAAATACCCTTATTAATATTATTTATGTTAAAAAAATAGGTTCAAATTATTATTAACATTATTATGATAAAAATAAGTATTATTATTATTCAAGTATATTAATGAAATTATTTTGTCTTGCTAAAATAAACTGCTGTTTTAAAGCTTCTTTTTTATATTTTTTAATAAGTTTTAATTCTTCTTTATTTATATTAAAACTTTTTCCTATTATTCTAAATATAAGATTACTTTATTATAAGCTTTAATAGCTTTATTATAAGTAATTGATAGTAAAGGATTCTCTTTTTCTTTATTTTCTTGTTCATTAAATTTTGGTAAAACACTTTTACAATTTTTTCATCAGATATCATTTCTCCTGTAATCTTAGACTTATCATATTAAACAAATTCTTTAGTAGTTAAAGGGTTATCAAAAACAAATTTATCAATTAAAACTTGAACTTCTTTCAACTTTCTTAGATGTTTAAGTTCAAGTTATATATCAGTAAAGTTTTCATTATCATCATTATTGTCATCATCTTTAGGTAAAATATCTTCCTTCAACTACAATTTTAAATTATCTCTTACGTTATATTATTCTATACTTGTAAACATATTTTACATACTTTTTAATATTAATTTTCACAGATTTAATACGATAATCATTGAAATTCTCAAAATATTTGACTCAATTCTTTAAATAGAGTAAAGTATAAATAAAGTAAAAATGTTTAAATCTAATATGTTTCTCACCTTAAAACTATTGATGATACTTTGATCACAAAATTGAAGATGCACTATAGTATTTGAAAAAAGTTAATTAGGTAGTTTTATATAGAGTATTTGTTAGGATATTATCAATGAGGAAAAGAATATTTCAATTTTGCAGTTATTGAGTTTTTTGATATATTCATTTCATATTAATACTTGTATTCAACTTTTTTTATGAAAGGTCTTCTTATTCTTCTTATTAATATTTTTAAAATTTGAAAATTTTTATACTTATATATGAAAAGAGAAGCTAACTTTCATTTTTAGTTACATTACTGGTAAGTAGAATAGTTACATAATCCTTTGATTATTTAGTTTTAAATACTTGACTATTTAATATTATACAACTAGGTTTTATCTTTCAAAATAAACCCATTTCATTATAATTAAAGATATCATTAGGATTATAATTTTTAAAAATGCTATAAATTTTATTATGTATTGCATTAAGATCATCAAGTAGTGTATTTGTAGTATCACCATATATATTATATTACCATAAGTTATATCGTTTCTTAAAAATTTTACCTATCTATTAGAACCTTTAAATTTATCATCACTAAACAAAAAAGCAAACCCTAAAACTTTAGTTAAAAGAATACTATCAGTTATAACAAAATCAATTTGAAGCATATTTTCTACTTAAAGAGTTAATTAAAGCTTTTTCAATAAAAAAAAAGTTTTTTTTTTTTTTACATTTCAAACTAGCTTTATATGATTCAGTATCTATAGTAAACTAGTAGTTCTTTTCTTTTAAAATGTCACTAACTATACCCTCACTAACTTCATATTCATTTATTAAGTCTTTTTATTTTAATAATAAGACTAAAGTTTTTTTAAATAAATCTTTTTTTTTATGCAGTAGTAAGAGACTTTCATTTTTTTTAAAGGTTTATTACTAGGTTTCTTTTGTTTCTTTAAGCTTACTTTCAATATTTTTAAGTTAA